GAGAGAGGAGAGAGAGAGAGAGAAAGAGAGAGGGGGTAAGTGATAGGGAAAAAGGAAAAGGAGAGAGAAAAGAGAAGGGAAGGGAAGAGGGAGACGATAAGAGAAGAAGCAGAGAGCGAGAAGAAGAGCGAGAGTGAGAGGGAGGATTCCCTTGTCAGGATTTTGGAGGTCCGGTTGTAGCACACCCAGGAGGGGACGGAATTTTTACCCGATACCCTTCTAACAGCTGCTCATGGGGCATGCGGTAAGCGGCGTTTGAAAGATCGTCAAAAAGCAAAAATCGTCTTCGGTCATTTTGGAGCAATTCAAAAGTCAGGTCACCTTTTTTATTTTCACCTTCTTGTACGTATTGGCCGACATCTTCAAAAGATATTCACAACAAGTTTTAGGGTAGGTATCATGAAGATGCCTCCAATACCTACACACAGCCTAACTAAGATGGTGATGTTGACTGGAAATCTAGCTAATTTCACCTTACCACTCGAGATTGGGGATCTATTTTTGGAAGCGTTTAGGATAAATATAATCCGTTAGGGGTAAACATCTGGCGCCACGCGAAATATGCTAAGAATGCGTACACGGGCTGATTATTCGTTCGTAAATATTTCTAGAAAGTGAGGAAACCATTGCTATTTTTAGCCAATGGAGATGCTTGGGTAGCAAGTTCCTAGTTCCTACGCCTTACAACATTATCCAAGCGAACATATGAGTAAGATATACGGCTGCCTATTTAGGACTTACGTGCAGACATGTACCTAACGTTATTGGAACGGGAGGTGGGACCATTTCGTAACCATTGCAAGGCATGTTTAGACTACTGAAGACACGCTGTTTACGGTTACTTGGCCGGATGCGATGTCCAAATGTAACACCGCTAAAGCTTAGTCGAATAATATGCCTAAAAATAAAACATAAAAATTGACAACAGGAGGAGGCCAGAGTATCCCGATTCGGAACATCCCAAGGCTGACCTTTATGCGTAATATTTAGACTAAGCGTAGCTGTGACCTCCGGGAAGTTAAACAAGAGAACAAGGTCAATGTGCTAAACCAGGCTGCGGGCGGCAGAGGTCTGTGCCGAGACCGTTTGACAGTGGCCGCCCACGTCGTCTCTGGTGGGAGGGCGCGGTGCTGGCCGCTGCAGGTCATGTCGCTCGTCAAAGCTGGCACAGCCGGCCAGACGATACCTAACCCGCGCACCGACGGGGGGGGGCGGATATCCGCCCCCCCCCTGAGGTTTTTCGCGAATAGCGGGAAAACCGCGGCGCGTAGCGCCGCGAAATTTGGTATGACTATTCCCTTATCAATTTTACACATGGTGTGCAAGTTTGAACTTCCTACCTTTCAAGGTCAGGTCACCAGGTCACTTTGAATGACCCAACCTCAAGTCACTTTTTTGCAACTTTGTCACCGTGCCAGAGCTACAGTAGATGTCGGAGGCCTTTGAAAGTCGCAGGATGTTATTAGGTCATTAGTAGCTACAATTTGTATATCTCGGAATTTTGATATCGGTGACCTAAGGTCAGGTCAATTTCGCGACCTCCCCATTATAAGTCAATGGGGGAAAAATCAACTCCCTGTTTTTACCACTAAAACGGGTCGGAATGGCCCCATATACCATACATGACTTCATATACGATCAACCTTCACTACCTTGAGGTCTGTTTTGCTGTTGGGCAGCTGTGAGGTCATGTGACGTCATCAAAGGTCACCAAAGGTTTTTGGCCAATAACTCCGTACAGGAACAAGATACAGACGCGTGGATGGTCTCATTGTGTTCAGCTCGTCAAGACGCATCGAATGATATACATGATGACCTCGAGGTCACGTGACCTGAGGTCAACCTTTGACCTTGACCTTTCGAGGTCAACATATATATCATTCGATGCGGATTGACGAGAGGATCACGATGATGCCCTTAGTTTGTTCCTACCTTGACTAATTCGAAAGTTATTCGAGAAAAACTCTCTTCATATTTAGCGCCGCCATTTTGACTTTTTCGACCCCTGTGACGTCATCTTTGACCTGACCTGAAAATGACCTGTGTAAAAATTGTAGATCTTGACCGTGCGTATCCGATGCCGTTTACCGCTTGTCGCTATCTTGCTTCGTTCTCGAGATCTCAGGGGGGGGGCGGTCATCCGCCCCCCCCCCCCCCGTCGGTACTAAGTTGGCGCAGACCCCCGTCGGTGCGCGGGCTAATTGACCGACGTCCCAGTGCCAGCTGGCTACTGCAGCCTGGCAGCACCGTTTCATTTCGATAAAGACTGATAAAGTTTGCCAGTTGCCACGGTTTGCTGGCTTTCCTGCCGGGTTGAGAAAGTCTGTACCGACTGACATCAGGTCGGGGTCAAAGAGCTAGTTAATAGAGGTCAAACGAGGTCCATTTAGATGGACCAGTGCCACATTCTCGATCAGGCTCAGTCACTGCCGTTATCGCAGTTTTGCGTTCACAATCGACCCTCAGTTATCCGGCGAATCTGTCCTAAAGGACGCGCGTACGGGTAGCGGTGCCAGGCGGCACGAGACCAGACGCCCTGTCCTGTTGCTAGAACTTTGAGGCTATTGCGTGCATCTTCTGCGCATCAGTGAAATGATCTCAGTTCGAGGTGCTACGCAACAGACACCAGATGGCCCAAGTGTACACATTGAGGCGACATATCTGCTAAATTTACGTCACTGCCAACTGAATTAACGAAGTTTCATACGCCCATGCATATGACATATGCGGATAAGGCGGATTCCAAGCCAATTTGAAAAGAAATAATCGTTACCGTCGCACATCCTACTTAGTGCTTACCTATATACATAAACACGCTTTGACGTTCGTCGTGTCTTTGTGCATAAGGGTAAATTTTAAGCAGTCACAAATTGCTGTACGTACAAACTCACGAAGAAAAATGGTCAAAAGGCTAATTTGTCATAATGACCGATCCAAACAAACAATCTATTCGTGTTGAACTATGTGTTTTAATGTGTTTCGGGGTATTTGCGTTATAAATAAAACAAATACCTATAAAATGGTTACGTCGAGGTTACGTTGGGACTAGGCAGCGATCACCTACTTTTACAATCCTATTCCTGTTTCTCTGTCGCCCACCTGTCATATAATGCACGCCGCCGATCATGATCACGGCGATGCTGGAGGCGTTCTCCCGGATCGTGCGTAGGACATCCTCCATGCGGAAGATGTCCTCACCAGGGCGGCGTTTCAGGAGGAGCACTGAATTATCCGGGTCGTAACCATGACGACGCACCTGTAAACAAACCATCACTGTGTTTTTGCTTCTCTAATCTGACCCATAGACAAGTATATTTAAAAATACGCCGTATTTCTATGACATTGAGAGCTAACAAGACTTGAGTAAACATCCCTTGCAAGTTGCAACTTGCATACCTAAACGAATAAACAACTGTAATGAATGTCGCATCCAACATATGACCCATCCCATGTCTGTCATACCTGCGACCTTACGGCGTACTTGTCGCTGGGAAAAGCCCTGTCCTCGATGAGGATCTTGTGTCGCAGCGGCGTAGGGTGGTAGAAGGCAGTCAGAAGCAGGTGGAGGTTCACCGTAAGGCCGTTCATAACAGCCACCTGCACCGATGGTTTCAGTCAGCACATCAGAGAGAGGGAGAGAGGGAGAGAGAGAGAGAGAGAGAGAGAGAGAGAGAGAGAGAGAGAGAGAGAGAGAGAGAGAGAGAGAGAGAGAGAGAGAGAGAGAGAGAGAGAGAGAGAGAGAGAGAGTGACGCAAAACTTGTGTATCCGGGCGGAAGAGAAAGATATGACACTGCAGGCATATGCCCGAATTGTGGCGACGGTCGGAGCGTATGTCCCAAAAGAGCCCCTTCTTGTTTTCGTTCATATTTCAAAATCCACAGCGTGAAGAGTCGTAATTTTTGTTTTGTTGCAAAAAAGCTGACCTGAAAGTGAAGAGCACATTTGCGCAGTTGCGGTACTGGTGAGTGCCTATAAAAGTACTGACCTCGTCCAGGCAGCCGCCGACCAGCCGCGCGTGCGATTCCGTCACCTCCAGGTCACATTTGGCCGCCGGCAACAGACCTTCAAAGTGAGTCTCGTGGCCCCTGAAATAGACCAGATCTCATAGGAACACTCTGCATTTAACGGTATGTCAAACAGACAATAGCCAGTGCTCACCTCCAAATAATTTGCTTATATTTTTATCTCAAGCTATGCGCAAACAAATGACATCAATCAACGTTTCATGAGCTAGATCAGCAATCATTTCACGTTGCTCTTACATGTCTCCCCACTGCTGTAGAATCTTCTCACAGTACCAGGTGGTCCTCCTGGGCATCAGGCCCAGCGAGTTGCCGTTCATGTAGATCACCTCATCGCTCGGGTCGATCATATTCAGGTCCACTTTGGAAGAGATAATCACAAAACATGAGAACATGTTTGCTGTTAGGCATATAAGCAGATTATCAACGGAGGCGAGGTTTGCGCCGGTAACGGGTAATGCACGAGCATGTAGCGTTGACGAAGTGTTATTCAAACACCACCTATGCATAGTGTGCTACAGCAGCCATCATTTTATCATTACAGAAAAATATTGAATGTCCGACTATATTCGATCGAGATCGAGCGTGGAGCCCCACCTCCAGGCAGAGTGGCCATCTTGGGCAGCTGGAACTGGTTGCGGAAGGAGGCCAGCTTGTCGTGTTGGTCCAGCTGCTGGGCCATCTCGGCCGAGGTGACGTCACAGCCCCACAGCGAGGCCAGACGCTGGAGCGTGCCGGCCGGAGCGACGTCCACACCCATAGCGTCACTCTGCCGGGAGCGTACGGTGGGACGTCACACCCACGTCACATAAATCCCCTTCCTTAACTTATATTTTTTAGAAGTTTAGCTAGACTTTTTGCTTAGGAATGAAATTATAATCAGTTATGGCCTGTGGGGTCCGATTGCGTAAAGCGAAGAAACTAAACGTCAAAGCTAATCGGGTTCATATTGGTGTTTTGCAAGCCGCGAACGTATATGGGGGGGGGGGGGTCCGTTGCCCCCGTCCCTTGCCGTTCGGTCCCTGATCAAGCTAGAGCTTCGGAAAAAACACGAACGTGTTACCCATGACGAGAGGAAGCGCAATGATACCCAATTTTAAGGTCCTAGGCCATTGGTTGACATTCCAGGTCAGGTCAACGACCCAAAAGTCGGGGCATCGGGACCTGTCAAAACTTTGCAAAGTGAGGCTGTTGAGGGTTTTGGGTGTGCTGATCACGAACTCACATGTTAGCTTTGATCAGCAAATGATGTCTTCATGCATTTAGGCCAGGTCGGGTCAGGTTAGGTCAGGTCAACCAGCAGGGGTTCTGCCAGGTATTCATAGTAGGTGTCAACCACCACTGACAACGTAACCTAGGCCACGAAGGCACAAAAAGTACTTCGTAAATGTTCAAATCGTTTCTAAATTATTCGAAATCAGCCAAATAAAACAATAATCTGTAGAACTGGAAAAAAACAAGGTCATCGAAGGTCGATGACCTGACCTGACCTTCGCGTGACCTCGCATGAGACCAACGTCATTTCACATGTTTGAGCGCTTAAAACCACAAAAAGACTGCAGACGCGCGGACAATGTGAGCCGACATACGCCTAGTCGCGATTCCGCCCAAACATGGTCGTCTCTAGAAAAAGGTCACAGGTCAAAGGTTGTCTGGGTAAGGGTTATGAAATTTTCAGAGTATATGTAAAATTGATTAGCCCGAGGGTACTGAAAGTTTTGTCGCGAGCGGCCGCTTTTTACGCGAGTTATACCGCGCCCTGGTGGGAGGGGGCTATTTTTGCCCCCTCCAGACTTGTCGATATATCTCCAAACCCACTGCGCCGATCGTCACCAAACGTTCAGGATTCTCCCGGGCATCAATTTTATACATTGTGAAAAAAAAATTCAAAGGCTGTGATAGGCTGGCCGAAAATGACATCAGAATGACGTCATGTTCTGCCATTTTCGACCCAAAGAAAGGCTTCGCGGGAAGAGCTGTCAGGCCTATACATTTGAAGTTACAGAAAAATGTTTGACCATCACAGGGGGGTTGAGCAGCCCCCACTAGGGTTTTTCATGAATTACTCGTGACAAAAGCGGCCGATCGCAACTAAACTTTCAGTACCCTCGCATTGATCAATTTTACACCTACCCTAAAAATTTTACGACCCTGACCCAAATGACCTTTGACCTGTGACCTACTTTCCGAGACCATGTTTGGCCGGAATCGCGATTCGGCGTATGTCGGCTTTCATTAGCCGCGCGTTTGCAAGCTTTTCGTGGTTTCAAACGTTCAAACATGTGATTTGATGTTGCTACCATGCATTAGGGTGGATGCCAAGGTCACCTGAAGGTCAGGCCAGGTCATTGACCTTTGGTGACCGCGGTTCACTTTTTCGAGTTTTACATGTTCCTTGGCTAGTTTTTGGAGCTGAATTCGAATTTAGCAACCCTTTGAACATTTACAAAGTGGTTTTGGTGCCTTTGTAACATGTTACGAAGCGGTCAGAGGCGGTTGACACGTACTACGAATACCCTACTGGTTGACCTGACCTGACCTGGTCTAAATGCTTAAAGATATCATCTACGATCAAAGCTAACACGTTGTTCGTGATCAGCACCCCGAAAACCCCCATAACAGCCACACTTTACGACTTTCTAACAGGTCCCGATTTTCCCGATTTTTGGTTCATTGACCTGACCTGGAAGGTCAACCGATGACCTAGGACCTTAAATTGGGTATCATCGGATTTCCCTAGTGACGGATAGCACGCTCATTTTTTTCCGTGAAGCTCTAGCTCGATCAGGGGCCAAACGCGAGGGGGGGGGGGGGTCGTACCAACCCCCCTTGTGCCGTCGAAGGACGCAAAATGGTCTGTGCCGGCGAGGATCAACTCTGGATTTTGCGGCTTCTATATTTTTTTTTTAACATTTTGGATAAAAAAACAAGACAGCCATTTGAAGAGAAACTACAAAGTCGTTTTCATGCTACTTGTTTACACCTTCGATCTCTATTCTTAAATACTTAAGTTTTTAGAGGCGATTAAAGTTTTGCAGCTTTTTTTTAAAGTAAAAATGGCGTGACATGACGACACTTAAACTTCATATTCGAAAACTAAAATACAACGGATTTCGTTCAAATTCAGGAAGCACGTAGATTGATGTATAATTAAATTATGTAGGCACTGAAGGTTTGACTTAGCTGGCGCAAAGGGTTCTTTGGAGATCAAACGGTAGGGTGGGACAGTCACTTTTGGTTATCTTAAACCAATTTTGTGTAACCCCAAAAAGTCTTGAAAATATTGCACATTATTGTTTTTGGAATCAAGACGTAATAAAATGGAAGTAAGATACCTACTTTGTTTTGTCAACAATTTTCCCTAAAAAAGCACAGAAACATAAGTTCATCTTTAAAACCCAGGTATACTCAAATATTTCGACAACTTCATCAATTAGACAATATTAGAGCACATGACGTTTTAAACGAAATACGAGTATTTTCTTTTTCACTTTTACTAGCCTTCGAGCGTCACTCACCGTCTGCCGGGAGTCGAGCAAGAGCGGAACGGGAGAATACCAATAGCAAGGGGTGAATACCAATAGGCGGTCCTTCAAAAAGTGTGTCAAGTGTGTCACCATGTAATAGCCGTTTTCACGACGGGCTATCCGGCGAATGCACCTGATTCGACCAAATCTGCACCTAATTTATTTTCCAGCAAATATCTTCATTTTATGAATTTATTTCAGTGTTTTAATCGATGATGCTCTCTGATAATATGACAAAGTAGTTAGCAGGCATATAAGCAATTAGTGCAACCCTAGCTGATAGCTGCTAAGAGACACACTGAACCTGATTTGACCAAATCTGCACCTAATCTGTACCAGATGTGCACCAAATGTGTACCAGATGACCGTCGTGAAAACGGCTAATAGCCATCTACGCGCGCGTCCTCTGTTTACTGCATTTTAATGCCGCTTTTCGCTCTTTTTTATGTTTGCTGCACTTTTGCATTTTAAACACATCGCTGGTTTCCTTCATCATCGTCCATGTCATGTTTTACGCATTAAGATACATCACAGTAGTCTTTGTATGACACTGTGGCCTAACAGCCAATGTTTTATTAGATGCCACAAAGAACCGCAATAAATAAATAAATAAATAAATAAATAAAAAAATATCGACCCCCCCCCCCCCCCCAGATACGGTCAGTCAAGCGCGGCCCTGTGACCCATCGGCGAACGAGAAAACAGCCCTTACGGGGATAAGTAATGTGATGAAGTAATGAATTAAACTCTTGACCTTCTTTATGGACATGCGGATAAACTATGTCAAACGATAAAAGTCGTACGCGATCAACACGTTAAAATGAAGTTATCCCGCACCGTAGACGGTGTAGGTAGAACAAGCTTTTAAACGTCGAGCCGATAGGCGAGACGTTTAAAAGATTTGTTCCACCTACTCGCGGCTTAATACATAATAGCCGTGGAATCGTGATTAATTAATGCTAGCTTATTCAATTATCATAGAACAAAATGGCAATAATTGACGATTCGTAAACTATTAATAAGATTGAAATGCATAGCATAACGAGTGTAATAATCATCCTACTCATACTTTGCAAAACTTCTTCGGTATGGTATGTTTACCATAAAATTTAGATAAGATAATGTCCCACGACCTTAAAGCAGACTCTAGCAAAGTACCTACTCAGTTACATGCTGAAATGCCTATAAGTTTGTGAACACAGGTACCATTAATTTTATTTTAACTTTGCTTACTTATATCCCATTCATAAATAAATATATTTTCCATATAGGGGAGAGCGGGGCCAGTTGAACCACTTTTTATATATTGACATGCACAGCGAGATCTAGTTGTCATATCGAAAAATGCACAATGCCATGAAAAAATATGCTCTTTTGGCTTCATTTTAAGATATGTAAAATTATGTTTCAAACATATTTTGGTGCCAAACGCATGCTTATAAAACAGCTCTACGCCCGTTTCAAATGACCCCGATGCGAGGGTCAATTGAACCAGCCCATGGGGTCAATTGCACCTATCCTTAACAATGGGATGTTTTCCTCTTTAAGGCCACTTTCTTAAGGAGATATTTTGTCCGGTTTACTTTTCCAAATGCTACATTCAATAGGTCGTTGGAAAGCTAAAAGTGCAAAGTTCCTCATAATAGGTGACATAAAGTACATAGACTATGGTAAAATGGGCGGATGAGGATAATGAAAAATATCTCAGGCTATAGCGTGCTTTCAAGCAAAAGGCTGGAGAAAAGAGGTCAAAAAATGAGCTCTATTAATCTACTATTTCAGTTTAAAAGCTCATTTCAAAGGTGGACTATTTCCTTTAATGTTTACAGCCCCTGAACAATAACCATTGCAAAGGTCACCGGGGTCCATTGAAACGGCCTGTGGCCCTGTTTCAACTGACCCTCAGAGAAGCGTTTCAATTGACCCCATCCGCTCCCGCCATCTCGCACGCGCCGTAAAGCACATGTCAAACGAGCTGGAGGGACGACATCATGCTGAATGAAGGGCCAAATAAGGTGTTATTCCGGAGCCAGGAGTTCTTCTTTCAGCAAACAAAGGTATATGAGATATCACAAAATATTCATAAAAACGATTTCTCCCAAACGCCCCTCAAAAACACAAAAACAAGTGTCAAATCAAAATTACCGTCCGTTTGCCGCCCAAACGCCGTTGACAAAGGAAGTGGTCGAGCGCGGATGCGCAGTGGTGTCGGCAACGCCATATGTTGCATACTGTTGAAAAT